TTGTCAATGGGGCGTTTGTATAAGGACCGCCAGCAGCCTCTAGGGGGGGGGGGAGAGTTCCAAAAAAATCAGTCCATTTATTTGAAGCAAATCCATGCAAGCATCTAGATGCCTTCACCCAGGAGATATAGAGGGCCTTTTTCCCCACTTCCTCAAAAACTCCAAGCTGAGGGGTTTCAAAAGACAAAATACAATTTATCATCTTGCAATTCTCCCACGGCAATAGTCACATTCAGAGAAGGAAAAACATAAGGAACCCCCCTTCTTCATTGATCAGCTGCAACATCGTCATTTATAAAAATATTGTAGTCCGCATGCAAAGACTTTAAAATTCCAGTTGTAACTTGTTTTAGCAGCCTCAGAGATCTCACTCCAGTCATTTCACTCAGTTCCTCTAAGCTCTTTGTCAAAATATGTCCCAGCTTTGTGCAACCTGCCTGCAGCAGTAAAACATGCACGCAAACTGGGTCCAGACACAAGTCTTGGTGGTAAAAAGTCATTAAGAAAAAGTGGCTCTTCAAAAAGCCATAATCCAGCATGTGTATTTGGTGTCCGTGAAATGGTAAACACTGTCCATGCCTCCAGAACTGACTTATAAAACACAGTCAATTTCACACGGTCCTCATTCTGGAGCTCCATTAGGAACAGATGTTTGTCCAATCCCATGCCTCTCACCCTCCTGAGAAGAGCACAAGCCGTATTTTGCCATGACGCATCCGTGTCGTACAACAGTCTCTGAGTGGCTTGCAACCGGAAAGCCATGATTCTTGCTCTGATATCTATCAATCCTTGACCTCCCTATTGAAGCGGAAGGTATAGAGCAGCAGCACGAATCCAGTGTTGTCCAGAACAAAAAAATTCAATAAGTTGCCTTTGAATTTCCTCAATAAGTCCCACAGGCGGCTGTAGCACAGTAATTTTATGCCACAGGGTAGAAGCAACCAAATTATTCGTCACTAAAATCCTCCCCCTATAGGACAACTGCGGCAGCAACCATTTCCATTTAGACAACTTGCTGCACACTTTCTCCACTAGCCCCTCCCAATTTTTCTTTTGATAATCATTTGACCCCAAATATACTCCCAATAATTTAAGTCCCTCTCTGCCCCACTTTAGGTCTCCGGGTAACTTTGGGAGACTCTCAAACTCCCCTTTGCCAGCCCAAAAAGCTTCACTTTTTGCCCAATTCACTTTAGCTGATGAAGCTTTCTCATAAAGACTACAGTAAGTGCCTCAGATAGACAATTAATATCTCCAGAATTGTTTACAAAAACTGTAATATCATCAGCATAGGCAGATAGATAGATTCTTGTGTCTAAAGAAAGACCAGGCACATTGAAACCTGACAGTCTATCTCGAAGTTTAAAAAGCAGCGTGTAGCTGACGCTGGAAGGTCAGCTCAGGGGATGATATTTTGGTGATTTGAGTGGTTAATGTTTATTTTGACTTTATAGTTTATTTTGTGATTTCATAGTTTAAATGTGTATTTCTGTATGGTGAATTTCTTAATTTGTTTGCCGTTTGTATTTTATTATTATTCTATCGTTGAAGTTGAGGTCATGTGATCCTGTGTGTGCTGATTAATTCAGCTGGACGTGTTAGCGTCAATGTAATGATGTGATGTGAAACTAAGACCGCAGGATAGTGCTCCTGACTTAAATCTACTGTTGGTTACCAGGCGAATACGGTAAATGTTTTAATACTTTGTATATTATGTTGGTTTGTGTTTGTAGTGGTGTTGTGTGTAAAATTATGGTTTGGTTTTCCTTTGTGTCTAGTTTTCACGGTGTCTCTGGAATAAATAAACAAAAATGGACATCAGTACTTCGGAAGCGTGGACTGTTTTGTAATCAGCGAGTAGTTACAGTGAAAACGTAACCTAATTCCATTCTACCGACTACGAGATGTGCTTTGGCGGTGATCCTCCAGTTTCGGCGAGCAGCCTGCCACTTCCAAGTCTCTGCACGCGGATGAACTGTTTTCCGTGGTGATCGCCGATGCTGCTGTCTTCGGTGTGCGGATCTGTTGTGCCTTCCTTGGACTTCGCGTGACGTTCGATTGTGTCCCGTGGTGAACTTAAAGGACTTGGCGTGCAGTGTTTGCCTTCTATGATGGACCGTTGCGAGCTTTAGTGTGCAAATCTGCTACATGACCGTCAATGGAGGATCTTCTCACGCAACTTTGTGTCAGCTGCGTATCAGCAGGTTAGATGTGCAATGTCAAATGATCCTTTTTGTAAATGATGGATAGTTTTAAGTAAAAAAAAAAAAAAAAAAAAAAAAAAAGTTCCAGAGATAACTGATTCTTAACTGCATGATTGTAATGTGTTTAAGATTTCTTAAGTAGATAAATGTCTAAGTGTTAAGGGCATTTAAGTTAATTTGTTACTCAGTCTAAGATTGTTTCACTACTATCTATTGCGATCATAAACGTCATATTTTGTACTATTTGTAAAAGCACAAATTTTTTAGAAAAATGTCAGTCCAGGGTGAGTCAGCTGAACAAAATGATTCTCCATTATCAGAGCAAGTAGATTTATTGGCAGAGAATTTGGATGGTGTTGTGAGGCCTCGACATGTATCATGTGCATCATGCACCGAGAAATCTGAGGCAAGGCGTAAAGAGCTTAATTCTGTGTTATTAGAGACGACTGAAATCAGAAAATCCTCCCGTGATAAACGTTTAACTCCAAAGATGCAGGAGTTAAAAGAGCAAGAACTGATTCAAAAGGAGAGGAAGTTTAAATCTGTATATGAGAAATGGAAATCTCAAGCCAGAGATGTTCGTTCAAAGTTAAAACGTGAGTGCTCTGAAAAAGACTTGTGTGACATGATGGATGAGGTTGAGAGGCAAGAGTTTGAATTGAAAGAGTTATATGATAACATGCGACTCCAAGCACCACCAAGCCAAGAAACTAGGAGAAAAATTGATGCATGTTCGGCTGTAACGGCAGACTTGATGAAATTAATGAGGGTACGCATGGTGGAAGATGGCATAGAATTTGATGCTGAAGCTGAGAGAGCAAGGTTACGTATGCTACTGGACTGTGAGTACGCTAGGTCTATATATGGATCCACGGTGGGTAGAGCTACGGTCGTTAGCAATCATTCTAAACCTGCATCGGAGTCTGAAAGCATTTCAGCTAAGAGAGCAGAGACTGCCGCGCTGTTGGCCGCGAAAAAGGCTGAAGTGGAAATGGAGGCTGACATCGAAGCACAAAGGCAGCAACTGAAGAAGCTGGAAGATCGTAGAGATATTGAGGTTATGGAGGCAAGGCTCAGAGTGTATACTGAGGAGGAGTCAAGGATAAAAAGTCAACGGTGTGATTCAGTATGTGACGTGAGTAACCACAGCCCCTGGTTCCTAACACATGTTTGAATCAGCAAGTTACAAGAAGTGAAGTATCCTTAGTACAGGCCTTACAAGGGTCTATGGCTCTATCTCGACTCCCAGCTCCAGAACCCTTTGTATTTTATGGCGACCCATTGAAGTTTATAGAATGGAGCACCACCTTTAAAGCTCTAATAGAGGGACGGTGCTCAAATCCCGCAGATAAGCTCTTCTACTTACAGAAGTATGTTGACGGTGAGGCAAGATCGGCTCTGGAAGGTAGCTTCTACAGGAAAGATGAACAGGCCTATCAGCAAGCGTGGGAGAAGTTGAATGCCAGATATGGTCACTCCTTTGTGGTGCAACGTGCCTTTAGAGAGAAACTTAATAGGTGGCCTAAGATTGGTGCAGCCGAGTACGTCAAGTTAAGAGAGTTCAGTGACTTCCTACAATCATGTAGTGATGCTTTGCCGCATATTAAGGGTCTTCAAGTGCTGAATGATTGCGAGGAAAATCAGAGGATACTGGCCAAGCTTCCTTTCTGGGTGACAAGCAGGTGGAACCGTTATGTCACAGAACAGCTGGATAAAGACCAAGATTATCCAAGCTTTAATCAGTTTGCCTCATTTGTATCAAAAGAAGCACGCATAGCGTGCAATCCTGTGTCATCATTGTATGCACTAAAGACTGTTGAAGAGAAGCCATCTAAGGAAATAAAGCGTTCAAGAGTAAACACGTTTGCAACCACTGCGAAGGCTTTAGATGCAGCATATGCTACGGCTGAATTCAGTGACCTTACCGACCGTGAGACTGAAGAGACTTGTAGGAAGAAAACTACCTTTGTGAGTGGCCTAAATTCAGTTGAATGTATGTTCTGTGATGATCGTCATTCTATTCAGGAATGTCCAAAACTAATGGAAAGGGTAGTAGAGGAAAAGAGGAAGTTTGTCATGGAGAATAAGTTGTGCTTTGCATGTTTAAGAAGAGGGCATGGCTCCAAAGACTGCAGAAATAGAGCTGTGTGTGGGTTATGCAAGAAGCGCCACCCCACTTCATTACATGAAGATCGTCAGCCAGAAAACAAGTCGTCTCCACGGATAGCTTTGCAGACGGAAGAGAATGCATTCTCTCTAACATGCTGTACGAAGGGTGGAGAAGGTGATATAACATCTATGATTGTCCCAGTATGGCTGTCTTTATCTAACTCAGAGTCTGAAGTCTGTGTATATGCTTTACTAGACACCCAGAGTAGTCACACATTTGTGGATCAGGAAGTGTGTGAAAGCTTGCAGGCATTAATGGAACCGGTAAAACTAAAGCTTTCCACAATGATGGAAAAAGACTCTGTTGTAATGAGTCACAGTGTAAGTGGACTTCAGGTTAGAGGATTTTCTTCGGACATCCCTATCTGTCTGCCTCCTGTTTACACAAGAGACTTTATTCCCTTTGTGCCCACACATATTCCAACCTGCGAAACAGCTAAACGGTGGAGACACCTAGAGGTGATCGCTAATGAAATGCCCGTACGGATGGATTGTGGAGTAGGTCTATTGATCGGCTATGATTGCTCCAGAGCACTGATGCCACGACAGGTCATCACTGGTGGGGATGAAGAGCCTTATGCCATCAAGACGGACCTTGGCTGGAGCATCATAGGAGGAACCCCAGGATGTGTAAACTCCAAGTTTGGGACTGGTTTATGCCATCGCATATCAGTCAGAGAACTCCCCTCCGTGACACCTGCCACTGTTATTAGGGCACTTGAGCTGGATTTTATAGATATTTCATCCGGTGAAAAGAGTAAATCACAAGATGATATTCAGTTCCTGCAGGTAGTAAAAGAGGGTGTCTATCAAAATGAGTATGGCCATCTTGAGATGCCTCTTCCTTTTAAAATACGGCCTCAGCTTCCAAATAATAGGAGTCTTGCATTAGGACGGTTGAAGCACCTCAAGAGGAAACTGGACAAGAATCCTCAATTCAGACAGGACTATGTGAAGTTTATGGAAGATGTCTTCAGAGATGGAGATGCGGAAATAGCAAATGAGCAACCAGACCCGGGTAATGTGTGGTATATTCCCCATCAAGGCGTCTATCACCATAGGAAACCAAATAAGATCAGGATAGTCTTTGACTGCGCCGCTAGGTATGAAGGTACCGCGTTAAATGACCATCTATTGACAGGGCCTGACCTTACCAATGGATTGACTGGAGTGCTTTGCCGTTTCCGTAAACACCCTATCGCTGTCATGTGTGACATTGAGAAAATGTTTCATAGATTTCATGTTATTAAAGAAGATCGGGACTATCTGCGTTTTCTGTGGTGGGCAAATGGGGATACCGACGCAGAACCCAGAGAATATCGCATGAAAGTACACCTTTTTGGAGCATCATCTTCTCCAGGCTGCGCCAATTATGGCCTGAAGTATCTCGCCAATATGAATGAGAGTGAGTATCCTTTGGCAGCGGGGTTTATCAGGAACCATTTTTATGTGGACGACGGCCTTGTAAGCCTGGAATCTGTTGAGGTAGCAATCAAGCTGGTGAAGGAAGCTCAGGCCGTGTGTGCTAAGGGAAAGCTGCATCTTCACAAGTTTATTTCAAACAACCGAGAAGTGTTGGAGTCAATCAGTCCGTGTGATCATGCTGCTGAAGTAAAGAACGTTGACTTTCACCATGACTTTCTTCCAGTACAAAATGTCTTGGGCGTAAGGTGGGATGTAGAGAATGATGTATTCACATTCAAGGTTGTTCTTGAAAGGAAACCTGCGACACGACGTGGAATTCTGTCCATGGTGGCTTCAGTCTATGACCCTTTGGGGTTTTTGGCCCCATTTGTCATATCTGGCAAGAAGGTCCTGCAGGAGATGTGCCAGAAGGGCATCAGTTGGGATGAACCGTTACCCTCTGAACTGAGACCAAGGTGGGAGAGTTGGTTGAATGATCTGCCCAACCTAGGGAAGGTACAGATTCCACGATGTTTCGCCCCTCCAAATTTTGGGCCGATTCTGAGCATTGAATTGCACCACTTTTCTGATGCTAGCAGTCAAGGCTATGGGCAGTGCTCTTATATCAGATTGATGAGTGAAAGTAAGATACATTGTGCTTTAGTTATGGGTAAAGCAAGAGTTGCTCCCATCAAAGTTGTCACTATACCAAGATTAGAGTTAACTGCAGCAGTCATCTCTGCTGCTGTTAGTAGTACGTTGAAAGAGGAGTTGGCACTCAGAGTCGATAGAGAATATTTCTGGACAGATTCTCAAGTGGTCCTTGGCTATATCAACAATGAAGCAAGAAGATTTCATGTCTTTGTTGCTAACCGGGTCCAGAGAATTCGGGAGGCCACCGATCCAAGACAGTGGTATTACATCAATACAGAAGAGAATCCTGCTGACCATGCCTCGAGGGGCCTTACTGTAGAGGAGTTGATCAGTTCAAACTGGTTGACAGGGCCCAGATTCCTCTGGGAGAAAGAGATATTTGCTAAACAAGGAACGTTGGAGCTGTCGGTGGGAGACCCGGAGGTCAAGGCTGTCCAGGTATTGAGGACCGAGATTATGACTGAGGTGGATTTTCAACAGCGACTATCACGACTATCAAAATGGACTACAGCTGTGAATGTCATTGCTCGCATCCAAAGATTAGCAAGGAAGATGAAGACTCCAACATCTTTAAATGTCGAGGAGAGGAGGAGGGCCTCATTTACTCTTATTCAGCTTGCACAACAGGATGCTTTCAAAGAAGAGTTGAATGTACTCAGTCAGGACTCGGGCAGGCTGCCTTCAAGCCATCCTCTGTATCAGCTTGATCCATTCATGCAGGATGGAATAATGAGGGTGGGAGGACGATTGAGGAGGGCATGTGCTCCTCTTGAATTACGATACCCAGCAATCCTTCCAAGTAATGGTCTGATCACATACCTTGTATTGGCACACTATCATCAAAAAATTCAACATCAAGGCAGGGGACAGACTCTGAATGAACTGCGAGCCAATGGCTTTTGGATCATGGGTGGCAGTAAGGTGGTAGCGCACTACATACGACAGTGTGTTCCTTGTAGGAGAGCACGTAGGCCGCCAGAACAACAACGGATGGCGGACTTGCCCCATGACCGAACTGACCCCTCCCCGCCATTTACCTATTGTGGCATGGACTGTTTTGGTCCTTTTTACACCAAGCAAGGTCGTAAAACACATAAACGATATGGCCTTCTTTTTACTTGTCTTTGCTCCAGAGCAGTCCACGTAGAGATGTTGGAGGACATGACGACTGATGCATTCATCAACGCTTTACGGTGTTTTCTAGCCATCCGTGGAGCTGTCAGACATATTAGATCAGACCAAGGAACAAACTTCATGGGGGCAAGGAATGAGTTGAAGAAAGCTTTAAGAGAAGTGAGTAAAGAGAGAGTGGCAGCATATCTGGCAGAGAAGCAGTGCGATTTCTGCCTGAATGCACCCAGTTCAAGTCACGCTGGAGGTGTCTGGGAACGGCAGATTCGAACTGTAAAGGGTGTGATGAGTTCAGTTTTGGCACTAAGTAGTGGAAGACTTAATGATGCCTCTTTACGTACATTCTTCTATGAAGCTATGTCAATAGTCAACAATCGGCCATTGACAGTGGATGGTCTCAGTGATCCTACAAGTCCAGAGCCCTTAACCCCCAATCACCTGCTTACCATGAAGTCGTCTGTCCCACTTCCTCCTCCGGGTGCATTTGTTAAGGAAGATCTTTATGCAAAGAAACGTTGGAGGCAGGTGCAGTATTTGAGTGAACAGTTTTGGAGCAGATGGAGGAAAGAATATCTTGCTAATATCTCTCTAAGGCAAAGATGGCATGCACTAAGGCGGAATGTGCAAGTGGGGGACATTGTCATTGTTAAGGAAGAGGAAACTCCCCGCAACGAATGGAGGTTGGCTAGGGTCGTTGAAGTTTGCAAGGCTGATGATGGACTGGTACGGAAAGCTAAAATACAGATTGGTGATCGGAAGTTGGGGAAAAGGGGTGAACGCCTCACTAAACCCTCTGTTATTGAACGACCCATCCAAAAATTGGTAGTTCTTGTAGCAAAAGGTGAAAATTAATATCTTATCACTCATTAGAAGTTGAATCATGTTAGTACCATGCTGTGATATGTTGATTTGTGCTGCCCTAATGCTGGTTGACAGTAGAATGTGAAAAATGGTGAACAATTTGTTCATTTTAACAGAAGATTGTGTAATTATGAAATATGAACCTTTTTTTTGTGGTTTTTTTTTGTTTTTTGCCTTTTTTGCCGATTTTCATGTTTCCTGTTGGAGTTTGGAAATTACCATTTGATTGGTTGTGTTTGTTTCTTATCACTCAATGGTAATTTGGTGGGAGTGTAGCTGACGCTGGAAGGTCAGCTCAGGGGATGATATTTTGGTGATTTGAGTGGTTAATGTTTATTTTGACTTTATAGTTTATTTTGTGATTTCATAGTTTAAATGTGTATTTCTGTATGGTGAATTTCTTAATTTGTTTGCCGTTTGTATTTTATTATTATTCTATCGTTGAAGTTGAGGTCATGTGATCCTGTGTGTGCTGATTAATTCAGCTGGACGTGTTAGCGTCAATGTAATGATGTGATGTGAAACTAAGACCGCAGGATAGTGCTCCTGACTTAAATCTACTGTTGGTTACCAGGCGAATACGGTAAATGTTTTAATACTTTGTATATTATGTTGGTTTGTGTTTGTAGTGGTGTTGTGTGTAAAATTATGGTTTGGTTTTCCTTTGTGTCTAGTTTTCACGGTGTCTCTGGAATAAATAAACAAAAATGGACATCAGTACTTCGGAAGCGTGGACTGTTTTGTAATCAGCGAGTAGTTACACAGCGGGTCAATTGCTAAACTATATAGTTGACCAGACAATGGACAGCCTTGCCTAATACCCCTTAAATTGGGAATTGGCCTACTCAAAGTGCCCCCTATCTTAACCATACATGATGCACCATTATATAATAACTGTATCAAATTTAAAAACGTTTCACCAAAACCAAAAGCCTTCAATACATTAAAAAGATAGTTATGATCCACACAGTCAAAAGCCTTTTCTTGATCCAAGGCAATTATCCCAACATTCACATCGAAACCATAACAAATATCCACAATGTCTCGGACTAAAAACAAATTATCCATAATGGACCGTTTTGGAATGCAGTATGACTGGTCCTTATGTACTACCAAACCCAAACAATGTTTTAATCTATTTGCCAGACATTTTGAGAAGATTTTATATTCTGTTGTAAGAAGGGCAAAAGGACGCCAGTTCTTTAAAAGGGCTAAATCACCCTTCTTTGGTAACAGTGATAAAACCGCATATTGCAGTCCCTCCAGGATTTCGCGATGTCGCGATCGCAACTATTAACGCAACTACAACAAATCCACGTGAATTCAGTGCGCCTTGCAATTTTGAAAAATCACCGCAACTTTTCTGCAACTTTGACGAATCATCGCGCCGCGGTCTCCTGCAAAGCGTCGTCATACGTCAGCAAACTCACTTGTTTTGTTCAGAAGACGCAGCAGATGTGGACTGCTAACGTCTCACATTTAGGCTACCTACAAAAATAACAGAAAAGGCCAATGTTGCCAACTTAGTCTTTGTCGCTATATTTAGTGATATAAAAAAGCGACTAGAGACAAATCTAGCAGCTTTTTGGACAAACCTCAGTAACCAAATGTTGCCAGCACAATCCTGCGAGCGCGAGGTTTGCTTTCTCCCTGCCGTCACACCTCTCTCTTCGTCCCTGTTCAGTGAACGGCTGCAGTAGAGGAGCAGCACGGCAGCTGACAGACGCGAATGAGCAGTGTTGTTTCCACGGACTTATCACTTATCTGCTTCTCTTTTGTTTTTTATTTAAAGAATTGAGTTTGACCATTTTATTTTCCTTTCTTTTCTTGTGTTTATCACTTGTAATAGGCTACTCACTATCACAGTGCATTAGTTCACCCAGTTCCCGAACTCTCTCAATTCAGAAAATTTTACACATAAAAAATAGCTAGCCGACTCGTATTGTCTGACAAAAAAAAATTAAGCTTTATTGGATATGCGGCTATATTATATTATAGCTATATTAAAATACATTATCAAACATTTGGTTTTTCCACCATTTAACTTTAGTGGCTATTCCTAAAACTGTATTTTGCACTTTATTAGTATTGGCATCTTTCAACATAAATGCTGCTTAATGTTTGTGAGGTTCTGCACATTGACTTTTTTGCAGGTGCAGATCTTGTTTTTTAAAAAAAAAAAAAAGTTAGTTTGTTAGGTTTTGCTGCGTCTTTAAATCGTTTGTTTTGCCTTTTATGGTTACTAATGGTTAGTTAGTTTGTTCGTGTGTTACAAAGTGTGTGACTTTGTCTCTTAAGTCAATTCTGGACTACAATATAGCAGATGCAGATGATGAACACTGTTTTCTGTGGGACATAATAAGTCCCTTTGGGGTGGACTTTGGACTTTTCTCTCTTAGTAAACCTATAACATGCACAAAAAATATAACAACACAATAAAGGAAAGGGGAAAAGCCAAAAAGCATAATATGGGCATTTTAAGTAAAAATCTATCTATCTTTGCCGTTTTAACCTATAAAAACATGCAGAAGAACATCGCAACTTTTATCGCAACTTTTTAAAAAAGCGGCCGCAACATCAGGCATTTTAGGCCGCAACAATCACAAAAAAGGCCCGCGAAATCCTGGAGGGACTGATATTGGCAGGAAGTTGGTAGAACACCTTCTCTAATAGATTCACATAAAACATCATAATAATCGTGCCCAATGCAGTTCCAAAACCTTTTATAAAAATCTGCTGGTAGTCCATCTATTTCAGGGGATCGTCCTGAATTAAAGGGTTAGTTCACCCAAAAATGAAAATTAAGTCATTAATTACTCACCCCCATGCTGTACCAACCCCGTAAGACCTTCGTTCGTCTTCGGAACACAAATGAAGATATTTTTGATTAAATTTGAGAGCTGTATAACTACCACATTGGCTCCTAAGGGACTGCCTCTTGACGGCCCAAAAAGTAAATGAAGAAAATGTTTAAATATCCCAAGTGACTACCGTGGCTCAACTATATGTTTATCAAGCGACGCGAATACTTTTTGTGCGAAAAAACAAACAAAAATAATGAGTTTATTCGACTATTTCTTTTCTTCCTTGTAGGCCAGAACGAGACTTCCTTATAGATTTCCACGACGCATGCGCGAGAATTGCGATCTGAAGTAGTGTAAGCTGGTGTAAGCAGATCGCAAATCTCGCGCATGCGTCGTGGAAATCTAAGGAAGTCTCGTTCTGGCCTACAAGGAAGAAAAGAAATAGTCGAATAAACTCGTTATTTTTGTTTGTTTTTTCGCACAAAAAGTATTCGCGTCGCTTGATAAACATATAGTTGAGCCACGGTAGTCACTTGGGATATTTAAACATTTTCTTCATTGACTTTTTGGGCCGTCAAGAGGCAGTCCCTTAGGAGCCAATGTGGTAGTTATACAGCTCTCAAATTTAATCAAAAATATCTTCATTTGTGTTCCGAAGACGAACGAAGGTCTTACGGGGTTGGTACAGCATGGGGGTGAGTAATTAATGACTTAATTTTCATTTTTGAATATTATATATTCCAGGTTAAAGAAAAAAGAAGTTGGGGCATCCATTTCTGCTAATGACATGAAACGAGACCTTATCAAGGCTCCTTTAACCTTCTCATTTAAGACTAGACCGAGCTCTCTCTTTTTCATTTGCAAATTAATATACAATGTAGAATTGTGTGCATCAACCAACTGTAATTCCATTAAATTAATTTGCTTTTCAAGTGTTTTAATCACATTCTTTATACTACTACAGTTCGCTGTATACTGCTGACAGAAATTTTTTATTTTAGTCTTGCCAACATCCCACCACTGTTTCAAGTTCTCAAAAGAACTCTTTTCCTTTTTCCTCTCATCCCAAAAGAAAACAAAATTTTCACAAAACATAGCATCCTGCAGCAATTTTACATTAAAGTGCCAATAAACAGATTTTCTAGGTCTATTTGACATGTTCATTGTCATAATAATTAAATGATGATCAGAAAAACCCACGGGACAAATGCAACACTCAATTACTCTACTGTTAAAAGCTTTTGACACATAGAATCTATCTAGTCTTGCAGCACTGACTCGATTATTAAAAGCCTTAATCCATGTATACTGCCTATCATTTGGGTGTTTAATTCTCCACATATCCAAGAGCTGGAAATCTTGAATTAGTTTTGACAATGCACTTGAGGACTGTATGTGAGGTTCCTCGGTGTTACGATCTATAGTAAAATTAATAGTGCAATTCTAATCTCCACCAATAACAACACATCCTTCACTAAAACACTTTTTAAGACTTTCACTAAGTATATCCAAAAAATGCAGACGCTCTTGTCCCACAGTTGGTGCATAAATATTTATCAGAAAAACCAGCATCTCTTGAACTTGAGCTTTAGCCACCAACAATCGGCCCTTTACTGGTTCCTCTATGCTTATAATATCTGCCTTTATTTTAAAAAATACCTACACCTCTACTTAAATTTGTACCATGACTGAGTATTTTATGCCCTTTTCACCACAAATTCCACTCAACTTCATTCATCAAATCACTATGAGTTTCTTGGAGAAAAACGATATCAAGCTTTTTTTGCTCAGTTATTTCATAGACTGTAGCACGCTTTACACTATCTCTCCCACCATTAATATTTAAAGAGCCTATCCTCAAAGCCTCCATATATAAAATTAAGATGGGAAATAAAGAACAAAGCATGATAGAAAAGCAAACAAAAGACACCGTGTAATACATAGGGATGGGACGAAATATTGTTTGACGAAAATATCGCGATACAAAACGTGACGAAACGCATCGAAGTCAAAAAAATTTATCGCGAAATAAAGATAGATGCATGATTTGCGTAGTATATAAATAATTTAGTGTATTATATGTGTGTGTGTATGTATATGGGGTAGAGATACAGTCTATGGTGGCAGGAAGCAGGATAAAACTAAATGAAAAAAAAAAATTATATCCGGAACTGCGGCACGTCATCACGTCGAGACAACGCATGTTGCAACAACACTGCAGTCTACAGCGAGCTAACAAATATCAGCATTAGCACCAACTGCCTTGCCCCCAAACAGCCGACCATGGAGTCAAATGAGGTCGAAATTGAGGACGCTCCGCCTGGATACAAGTCATATGTCTGGCAGTATTTTGGCTTTCTCATTAAAAAAGACAAAGACGGCAATAGAGTAACTGACAAGACTAAGACTGTGTGTAAGCTATGCAATGCTGTCATTCCGTACACCACATCCAACACTTCAAACATGAACCACCACCTTCAACGTCACCATAAAAATGTGAAGACGGCCCCGGAGAAAACGAACCCACCGAAGGGACAGCTGACCATGAAACAAGCGCTGACACCAACTCTACCTCAGTCAAGTCCGCGTGCAAAACAGATAACCAGGCTCATTGGCGAATTCATAGCGGACTATATGGCTCCATTTAACATGGTAGAGAACAGAAAATTCATCCAAATGTTCAAAGTGCTGGAGCCTAAGTTTAAGATGCCATGTCGAGTACATTTTTCAGAGAAGGTAATCCCGGAAATTTACAATGAAACCAAACAAAGCGTGAAAGAGTGTCTAAAAAATGCCGACTGTGTCGCCCTGACCACCGACAGCTGGACCTCGCGTGCAACGCAGAGTTATGTTACCATCACGGCAGAAGTTATCAACGAGAAATGGGAGAAAAAAAGCTTTGTGTTGCAAACTCGTGAGCTGAGTTAAAGTCACACTGGTGTTAACATAGCTCACG